TAATATATATAATATATATGTATCTGACACACACACACACATATATATGTCCCCTGAGGGTCTGAAGTCTGTATGGCTGAGGTTCAAGGTGAGGGGGCAGACCAAGTTAAGCCATGCTTCATAAAAATTTTAGCATGCCTCAGAATCCCCTGGAAGGCTTGCTACAACAGATTGCTGGCTCCCACACCCAGAATTCCTAATTCAGTAGGCCTGGGTGAGGCCAGGAATGTGCATTTCTGATATGTTCCCAGGGAATGCCAGCGCCCTAGGGATCACGCTCCGAGAGCCACCATACATAGAATCCCTCCTCAACAGTCTTCCAAACCTGGGGGGAAGAACCTTCTGGAAATGGCCATCTCCCAGGAACTTCTGAAGGATTGATGGGACACAAGAGCAAAGGGACACCTGCTGTCATGTGGACAAACATCACAACTGTGGCAACCTTCCACATAGTCTAGGCAGTGGAGATAACAGCTGAGGAAGCCAGGGTGTGACCCCAGCCCCCAAGATGGAAGAGAAGAACAAAAGATGAGAAGTCCAAGCATGGCAAATGGTATAAAATACCACAATGGGAATGTACATGGCTTGACCACCCTTCTTTCTTGCGTGTGTGTGTGTGTGTGTGTGTGTGTGTCCGATGGTGTCAGAGCACAGAGACTGGGAGTCAGGTGACCTTGCAGACTTGCAGCCTGGAAATCCTTGTCTAGACGCAAGCAGACGTAACAGCCCAGAATGTGTATGAGCAGCAGCTGCCGGGGGCTGCAGGGGTGGGGAAGGGAAGAGTCTGGTTTATAGACATCGGTGGGGATTGCATGATGTTGAGTCAGCAAGCTTGTATATACATTTTCACTATGACTCTGGTGTTAGACTGAGAAAAGCACCTACATGCTATGCACCAAATGTTTGTGTCCCCTCAACATTCATGGGCTGTTATTTGGAGGAGGGGCCTTTGGGAAGTAATTATGATTAGATAAGGTGATGAGAGCAGGGTCCTCCTGTGGGATTAGTGTCCTTGTAAGAAGAGGAGCGGACACGGATCTCTGCCTCTGCTCTCCACCAACAACAATCCAACAAGACAGCCGTCAGCAAACAGAAACCGGATGCTGGCCGACACTGAGTCAGCCTCTGCCTCCAGAACTGTGAGAAACCACGTGTGCAGTTGAAGCCACCAGCCCCTAGTAATTTGTTACAACAGTTCAAACCAAATACTGAAGGGATTTCAGTATAAATCTAAGGGGGGAAAATTAGGAAAAGACTTTTCCTACAATTCTAATATACACACATCCTTAGTAAAATCACAGTAGCATTTTAGAGAATTTCCCTAATTTTATAGACATCCCTGATAGGTTCTGTTTTGAGTTATTGTTCATTGGTGGCCTTCTTTTCACAAAAACAATCCAAATTTACTATTTTATAACCACTGGACAGAAATCCAAAATAGGCCCACCCAGGCCAGCATTGGGCATTGGCAGGGCCACCTCCTAGGGCAGAACCAGTTTCCTCACTTCCCTCAGCTCCTAGAGGCCACCCACAACCTGTGGCTCCTGCACCTTCCTCCACCTTCAAAGCCAGTGATGCCGCATCACAGTGCATCACTCTGACCTCCTTCCTGCCTCAGTTTCCCATTCAAGGACCCTGTGATTATGTTGGGTTCAACTGAATGACCCAGAATAACATCCTTATTTTAGGGTCAGCTGATCAGCAGCCTTAATTCCATCTGCAACCTAAATTCTCCTTTGCTGGAATTACCCTTTGACAAAAGAGAGAACTTCCTGGAGGGAAGTTTTAGCACTCCTGTGCACTACTGTGTGCCAGGGCCTATTCCAGATGCATAGCATTAAGTGATGGACGGGAACAGGCATCCATGGGACTGATTTCCAAGAAGAAATCACCAGTTCTACCCAGAGCAGTTGTGGGAACTCTAGGCTCTGGTGATCACAGGGGGCTTCTCTGCTGCCTGACTGTCAGCTGGCCCTCAGATGCCTGGATGCCTTCTAGCACCTAGAGCCAGACACCAGTAGTAAACACTCCCATCAGCAGAGGACAGAGGAGGAGCCAACGTCTGGCTTTCTGTTGACAGTGGAGAAAACCTGCATCTCAGCCAGGAGGATGACAAAAGGAAGCAGAGTCAGATGGATTGCTTTTTTCAGTAC